TCCGAACCCTCAGGCTCAGCACCCCCAGGCTCCGCACCCCAGGCTCAGCACCCCAAGACGCAGCACCCCCAGGCTCAGAACCCCCAGACTCAGCACCCCTAGGCTCAGCATCCCGAGACTCAGCACCTCCAGGCTCCGCACCCTCAGACCCAGCACCCGCAGGCTCAGCGCCCCTAGCAGCGCCAGAGTCAACAGCAACCTCGACAGGCTCACCTACGTCTACCTGGGACACACCTGACGGGGCAGGACCCTGAGGGGGGAGGGGGTCTACCGGGGGAGGACCTGGCGCAAGGAAGAGCGGCGGCGGTGGGAGGGGCGCAGTGCGGTAGGGGAAGAGACGGTAGTTAGGCACCGACTCGTCAAAGGTGACATCCTGGGAGGACAGAACACGGCGCGAGGTGAGGTGGTAGAACCGCCAACCTGGCGCGTCAGGGGGGAAGCCAAGGAAGACGCAGGGAACAGCACGGGGGGACAGCTTGTCCGCAGACAAGTCACGGACAAACGCCCGAGATCCCCAGACCCGAAACGCAGACGCATCGCCAACCTTCCCCGTCCACCGCAAGGTGGGGGAGGTCTCTGGCAAGGAGACCTGGGGCTGAAGGTTGAGCTGAACCGCCGCGTATTGAACCGCAAACTGCCACAGAAAATGGGGAGCAGCCGCATGGATCATGGACGTACGAGCGACGTCCATGACCATGCCAATGCGGCGCTCAGCAATCCCATTTTGCTGTGGAGTGTCCGGAAGCGTGAAGGTCTGGCGGATGCCCTGTGCACGACAGAAGGCTCCCAGACGGGCAGAGGAAAGCTCTCCGCCTCTGTCAGAGTGCAGACGTAGAACGGGAAAGTCCGAGCCGAAACTCTCTCTGAGCTGGAGACGAGCTGCGCGGATCCAGTCGATCAACACCTCAGTGATGTCACCCTTGCTGCGCAAGGGGAACACCGTGGTGTAACACGAGTAGTTGTGAACCACCAACAGGAAGTAACGCTCGTGACCCTGGCCACGGACGCGGGCGGGGCCCCATACTTCCATGTGAAGAGTTTGCAGGGGAGCCTCTGTCGGTGGAAACTCAGAGGAGTGAGGAGCGGCGCGCTGCCGCCCCTCGACGCAGGGGACGCAGGTAGGGGCCGGCCCTGGAGGTAGAGGAGGGAGGGACCGGGGGAGACCAGACACTAGAAGACGGGAGGCCATGCCTCGGAGACGAGGCAGGGAAGGGTGACCAAGGCGGTGGTGCCAAAGGAGAGTCTGGTGGGACAGGAGACGACACGAGCAGGGCGCAGACTCAGGACCAGACCTAGACGCTGCAGGAAACACCTGACTTGATGCAGCTACTTGACCAGACGCAGTAACAGGAGGAGACTCAGTGGTAAGTGTGTACAGGCTCGACCCCAGCTGACGGGTAAACGTGGCCAAGTGTCGGCCCGTCCGAGCACACGTACAGTGGGTCACCCGCTGACTCGCAGGCGTGAACTGGTCAACCCCCCGATCCTGTAGATCAGCTCCCCTTACCAAGTTCGTAGAGAACGAGGGGAGGTAGAGACCTGACAGAGTGCCAGAGGGAGCTGCCGGACATGGTAAGACAGTGGAGAAGCTAGCAAGGACAGGACCCCTAGAGGGGTCCGCCAGGGAGACCGCAACCGGCTGACTAAGCAGCGTAAGCGTGGTGCGGTCTCGAAAGAAGGAGCGGGAAGCACCCGAGTCAAGGGTCAAGGTGTGCAAGGCCTGAGCTGACGTGGTACCTGAGAGAGCAGAGTCACCAGCACCTGGGGGAGCAGACACACTAGCACCTAGAGCAGCAGCCTCACCACCACCTGGGGCAGCAGACGCACTAGCACCTAGAGCAGCAGCCTCACCAGCACCTAGAGCAGCAGCCTCAATGCCCGGGTCAGGCGGAACATACAGGTTACAGTCACCCTCATCACTAGTAGGCAATGCATACATGGCAGTGAGGATAGCATCATAGTCAAGAGTATAGATATCTACCCTGAGCCGAAGCAGCTCCACCGTGTCGAGGAGCTCAGCCGCGTCGCCAAACTCCGTACGCCAGGTGTCGCTCAGACGGGCCAAGCAGCGGGACTCTGCGTGACTACGCGTCCCGCAAGGTTGACTAGTCCGAGCACCAGTGCAAATAACGTACGGACAGCGAGCAGTACCTCGCGACCCGTCACGCTGAGCGTACCACTCACGAAGCTAGTGGGGCGAAAGGACCGTGCGCGGACGACATTGAAGCTGCACCTGGCCACTACGAGCAGCTGCCGGACTACTTACTCCAGGACGACTCCCACTACGACCACCTCGACAACCCCAACTAGCGTACCACTCACGAAGCTGTTGGGGGGTGAGGGACTCACGCGGGCGACGCTGGAGATGCAGCTGGCCACGCCAGGAGCAGTAGTAGCAGTAGAAAGAGCAGTAGCAGCAAGCGCAGTAGTAACGGCAGTACGGGCAGGGCAGTGCTCACCAGTGGCGAGAAGGGCAGGCGTAGGACGGCGGCAACGGCGAGGCCGCTACCACTGTAGGGCGAGAGCTCCGCGGTAGCTGCAGGGGTGGCTGCTCCAGGGGCGGCTTCTCCAGGGGCGTCTGCTGTAGGGGCGGCTGCTCCAGGGGCGGCTGCTGCAATGGCGGCTGCTCCAGGGGCGGCTCGGCTGCTGGGCGGCTCGGCGGCTCGGCTGCTGGGCGGCTCGGCTGCTCGCTAAGGACGGCGACGGGGCCGGGTAGGGGCGGCGACGGGGCCGCTAGGGGCGCGACCGGGCCGAGTAGGGAGGGGAGCGGCGACAAGGCCGCTAGGGGCGGCGACGGGGCCGCATAGGGGCGGCGACGAGGCCGCGTAGAGGCGGAGATGGGGCCGCGTAGGGAGGGAGGCGGCGACGGGGCCGCTAGGGGCGGCGACGGGGCCGCGTACGGAGGGAGGAGGCGACGGGGCCGCTAGGGGCGGCGACGGGGCCGCGTTGGGGCGGCGACGGGGCCGCTAGGGGCGGCGACGGGGCCGCGTAGGGGCGACGACGGGGCCGCGTAGGGAGGTGAGCGGCGACGGGGCCGCTAGGGGCAGCGACGGGGCCGCGTAGGGGCGGCGACAAGGCCGCGTAGGGAGGGAGGACGCGTCGGGGCCGCTAGGGGCGGCGACGGGGCCGCGTTGGGGCGGCGACGGGGCGGCTAGGGGCGGCGATGGGGCCGCGTAGGGGCGGCGACAAGGCCGCGTAGGGAGGTGAGCGGCGACGGAGCCGCTAGGGGCGGCGACGGGGTCGCGTAGGGGCGGCGACGGGGCCGCGTAGGGAGGGAGGTGGCGACGGGGCTGCTAGGGGTGGCGACGGGGCCGCGTTGGGGCGGCGACGAGGCCGCGTAGGGGCGGCAACGGGGCCGCGTAGGGAGGGAGGCGGCGACGGGGCCGCTAGGGGCGGCGACGGGGCCGCGTAGGGGCGGCGACAGGGCCGCGTAGGGAGGGAGGAGGCGACGGGGCCGCTAGGGGCGGCGACGGGGCCGCGTTGGGGCGGCGACGGGGCCGCTAGGGACGGCGACGGGGCCGTGTAGGGGCGGCGACGGGGCCACGTAGGGAGGTGAGCGGCGACGGAGCCGCTAGGGGCGGCGACGGGGCCGCGTAGGGGCGGCGACAAGGCCACGTAGGGAGGGAGGAGGCGACGGGGCCGCTACGGGCGGCGACGGGGCCGCGTAGGGGCGGTGACGGGGCCACGTAGGGAGGTGAGCGGCGACGGGGCCGCGTAGGGGCGGCGACAGGGCCACGTAGGGAGGGAGGAGGCGACGAGGCCGCTAGGGGCGGCGACGGAGCCGCGTTGGGGCAGCGACGGGGCTGCTAGGGGCGGCGACGGGGCCGCATAGGGGCGGCGAGAGGGCCGCGTAGGGAGGTGAGCGGCGACGGGGCCGCTAGGGGCGGCGATGGGGTCGCGTAGGGGCGGTGATGGGGCTGCGTAGGGAGGGAGTCGGCGACCGGGCCGCTAGGGGCGGCGACGGGGCCGCTAGGGGCGGCGACAGGGCCGCGTAGGGGCGGCGGCGGGGCCGTGTAGGGAGGGGAGCGGCGACGGGGCCGCTAGGGGCGGCGACTGGGCCTCTAGAGGCGGCGACGGGGCCGCTAAGGGGCCGCGACGGGCCGCTAAGGGGCGCGACGACGGGGCCGTGAGAGGGGCCGCGAGGGGCCGCGAAAGGGGCCGCTAGGGGCCTGAGGAGGGCGTGACGGGGCACGACTTGGGCAGGAAAGAAGCGCGCTCCGGGCAGAAAAATTGTTAGTGGTGGGCCCTTAGGAAGTGTTCCCACAAGGGAACCTGCTCTATACCATGTGAAAATCTGAGGAAGGAAATGATTGCATTGAGCAGCATGAGGAGTACAAGTAGGAAACCCTAAAGTGTTGTACCCCATATGGACTACCCCACTACAGCCTAAACAGACTATAGCATATAAGTTCGACATAATCCATCCTTCTCTAAGGTATTACTCGATCTGCTGTTTAGCCTCCGCGTACTCAGCTGGACTGAGGCGATACAGAGGTCGAAAGGGTGGAACCTTTCTTGGTTCAACAGGGATGGTTTGACCCACTACGCGGTCAGGTGGAAGTCCATCAGGGATGGTTTCAAACACTTACTTGAATTCCTCGGCCAGTATTTGCATTTCAGGAGGGAAATCATCAATTGTTGGCTCCGGTGTCTCAGTATTTTCAACCTGTACCACGAATATTGTATCACCCAATTTAACAATATGCCCGAACTGGTTGGCCAACACACACAGCGCGCTTGGACGTTCAGGCGTCTTTGTTTCAGTGAGTGAAGTATCATTGAATTGCCACTAGATTGTATTTTTGTTCTTGTTGAATAAGACAGTGTTGTACTGGAAGTCCAGAATGACTTCGTTGGCTCGCAACCAATCCATGCCCAGTATGAGGTCGACATCTGACAAAAGGGGTAGGACATACACGCAAACTGTTTCGCAGTCCTGTACATTCAAATCAATATGTATCTATCCTTTATTTGGAATGACACGATCGTCACCCAAGCGGATGCGACATGACGGTCCTACAACGAGGACGTTGCATGCCGTAACCCAAGTTTCATCAACAAGGGAAGCCGACGCGCCCGTATCGACAAGAATCCTTGCTGTGTCCCCGTTCATGCGTCTAGACAACTAGTAAACTCTGTTGAATCGTTGGACAGATGGGAAAATTGACTACAAGTTTAGGAGGTCGATACTACACCATAAATTTGTTGCGAACATGTCTAAACCTTTGGGATGTGGTCCACCAAACATGGTGCCCTTTGTCCCATGTTGCCAGGATATGCCATTCGTGAAATCGGCGCAAATCAACTCCTTGAACGAGCAAGAGATGATTGAAAATTTATCTCTCAAGGATTCAATTGAAATGTTTTCAACTGGGTATAATCGAGTTTTAAAAACAGATTTTTCATTAATAGAAGAGGCATACAAACAAGCGATTTTGCATGACGCAAGCTTCTCTAGCTTTAGCAAATCCTCATCACAAAGAACATAAGCCTTATGTACTTGATCCCTTTCACTAACTAGGTACTGTCAGAATAGTGGTTAGAGGAATGCACGAACCATAGCTAGGGTTTAGCTAGCTAGGCACGAGAGAATAGGCAAAAGAGGGGTTGCACTAGCAAGCAGGTGGATGCATATAGGAAACCCTAAGGGGGCGTACTCACTACAGAGTACCCCACTGCAGGCTAGACAAACTACACATTCTGACACACTCCCATAGTCAAAGTGGGGTATGATCAGCTCAACAAGCAGCAGTTTATAGTTCACAAATATAAGCAAAGCTAGAGTCTATCACAGAGGGCTAGTGAGGAGGAGGAGGAACTATGAGAGGAGAGGAGGTAGTGGGCGGCAGCTGAAGTTGCTGGCACACAGCGCAACTGGAGCAACTGGCACATGGGCAACTGGAGCAACTGGCACACTGGCAACTGGAGCAACTAGCACACGGGCAACTGGAGTAACTGGCTCCGCGGCTAGACGAGTGGTAGGAGCAATTGACTTTCGGGCAACTGGAGCAACGGGCTCACTGGCGACTCGAGCGACGGGCTCACGGGCGACTGGTGCAACGGTCTCACGGGCGACTGGAGCTGCTGGCTTCACGGCAGCCACCCCCTTTCAACCTCCCCCTTTGTCCCAAAGCTCCCGTTCACACCCCCTGCTGCACCCCTAGCATCACTCCCACGACACCCCCCTAGCACCACTCCTTCCGCTCCCACACACCCACCCCCCTCAACGACAGCTGCAGCAGTGGGAGACGGAGGAGGAGGAGGAGGAGAAGGAGGAGGAGGAGGAGGAGGAGGAGGAGGAGGAGGAGGAGGAGGAGGAGGAGGAGGAGGAGGAGGAGGAGGAGGAGGAGGAGGAGGAGGAGGAGCAGGGGACGACGCACACACCCGTCACCCCCATACCCGCCACCCCCACACACGCCACCCCCAAACCCTAACACGGGTAGCACGGGGCAGGAGCGCGGGCAGCAGCGCAGGAGACAGCGCGCGGCCCCCAGGGTGCCGCGACAGGGCAGCGGGAGGGGGGGGCGCGCGACTCCCCAGGGCGTCGCGACGGGGCAGCAGGGGGTCGCACGCGGCTCCCCAGGGCGTCGCGACGGGGCAGCGGGGGCCGCGCGCGGCTCTCCAGGGCATCGCGACGGGGCACCGAGGGCCGCGCGCGAGTTGCGGGGCAACGCGACGGGCTCCAGGGGAGGCGACGCGACCGTCGACGGGGGGGGACGCGCGGGTCCCCGGGGTGACGCGTGAAGCAGGAAGCCGCCACGTGCCTCGGGGCGCACGGCGGGCAAAAAACCGCCGTGCGCCCCGAGCGCGTGGCGGGAAGAAAAAACAGCGTCGCGCGCCACGGGGCACGCGATAGACAGGAAAGCAGCGGAAGCAGGTGGGCCCACAGGCCAAGAGCGTATCAGCTCTGATACCATGTCTAAATAGTGGTTAGAGGAATGCAGGAACCATAGCTAGGGTTTAGCTAGCTAGGCACGAGAGAATAGGCAAAAGAGGGGTTGCACTAGCAAGCAGGTGGATGCATATAGGAAACCCTAAGGGGCCGTACTCACTACAGAGTACCCCACTGCAGGCTAGACAAACTACACATTCTGACAGGTACCCACCCCCTAGTTGTTCTTCTGAAAATCCTTGGGACCCGAAGGATCAGAACCATCCGACTTCTTGCCCTGGTTGGGCTTGCTGGAATTATTGACCGTCTTCCTCCAACGGCAATTGTAGGCCTTGTGGGCGAGCTTGCCACAGATGTGGCAGCCCGCCGAGGGCTTATCAGCATCCTGAGGGTCCTTGGTGGACCCCGCATGGGCTTCTTGGACTGTGTCCCAGAGGGTTCCCCCTTCTGCTGATAAGGCCTCTTCCAAGAACCATGGCCCTTGGGCGCCGAGGTCCTGCTACCACCCCCCCTAAGGGCCTTCGGCACTAGGCGGCTGCTGAGCACGAGCGTGACTCATGTACGCACGAAAATTCACATCCGTGTCAATGACATGCTCCTTGCACTCCTTGTAGGTCTTCCACTGGTGCTCCCCTCGAACAACGTGCACACGCTTAATGTGCTCGAAAAACTGGTGGATGACCTCGCTCTCAGGAAAAGCGGTCTTCAGCAGCGACAGAGTTTTCTCGAACTCCTTGGCATACTCGCGTACAGGCTGGTCACCGCACTGGATGTTCTCTAGGCGGCTACGCACCTCGAGCGCCGGGGGCTGACTCAGGAATGCCGTCAGCATAGCAGCTTTGAACTCCTCCCAGCCAAAAGGATGGCCATTTGCCTCTGCGTGGCGCTCGTTGGCATACACCAACTTGCTCGCCGTGTCATCCAAGGAAAGGGTCGCTGCGACCACGCGAGCCTCGCTACGCACATTGTGGACGGACATGAAGTCCTCCGCAATGGAGAGCCAAATCTTGACATCGGTCTTGCCGTGGACAAAACGAGGCAGGGCCGAAAGGGCAAGAGCCAAAGGCAGTTGCAGCTGCAGCAGGAGGCTCAACACGTGCTCCAGCAGTAGGGGAGACATCAGAAGGTGTGACAGCAGGTTCAGCACGGCTATTGGTGGAAGCTGCGGCACGCTCAGCTGCAGGAGGAGGCTGATAGATGTTGCCACGCCGGATCTCCTTGTACTGAGCCTGAAGCTGGGAGATGAGAGTCTGATGCTTGTTGAGCTGCCCTTGCACGAACTTGAGAGTGTTCTGCAGGTCTAGAATGAAGTTGGAGGTGCCCTTAGGGATCAGCTGCACTTCCTTGATCAGCTCCTCAATCAAGGTCTTGAGCTGGGCAGAGTCAGCCTCCAAGTTTTGGATGCAGCACTGCTGCTCCCAATGAGAACATTCTGCTTCGTGATCCAGGTCTAGAGCTTGACAGCACCGTCCTCAGTCTCATTGGAGACACCCTCGTTAGTATTGGCCTCATCCTCATTATCAGCACCAGCCTTAGCTTTAGCTTCACTGCCATTGATCTCCAGGTCATCCAAGAACTCATCTTGGTTAAGATCAATGTCAGCAACAACAGTAGCAGCAACATTATCCCCTTCATTGCCAACCACAGGCGCCTCCTTAGAAGCATCCATCTCTTGACCAAAAGCTAAGAAATAGGTTATGGAAAAAAAGATCTCAACAGATCTTATAATATCCTTTAGGAAATATGATTACGCTTATATAATAATCCAATACAGAGGCTCTTAAGATTGACTTGCTTGCAAAATCTCTCTATCACCTCAATGATAGAGTAAGATATACTCAAGAGAGTAATCCTCAACAAGTCCTTGTAGATCTGAAAATATACTCTTCTACCCAAGGTAGATCAAGAGTCTTTCACCAAAGGTAGGTAAGAGAAATTAATATCTTCAAATTTCTTCTCAAAGTTGATGAAAATAAGAAACTCCTTGTAGATCTTGTAGCTCCAATGAATGACTTAAGTAATTGTAACTTGAAGCTTGTAGATCTTGTAGAAGCTCTTGTAGATCTTGAAGGGACCTTTGTAGATCTTGAGATCTCTTCAAAATCTTTACACCTCCTTGGATGAACTCCTAGATCAAGAAGTAAAATGGCCACACAAGTCGAAGGAAGAACCTTGCACTAGATATCAATGTAACACCCGAGGCTATTATAGTAGAGATTACAAGGCTTTTATAAGAATCCTGGTACAAGATGGTAGCTCTAGCTAACCCCTCTTAATAGCCTTGGAGATGAGAGTCTTGTTGAAACCTTTGATGGGAAGCACTTGAAGAAGTTGTGTAGAGAGTTGTTGTGTGAGAGAGCTCTCAATGACTTAGGCAAAACAATCCCATTTTTTATTGATTAGTTGGATGAGATTGGAAACTCAAACCCCCTCAATACACTTCTTTGGGAACTCTCCCAACCATGGTTTCCATGGTGGGATGGTTCTTAGGCTTGGAGCCTATGTGGCAATTAGTTGGGTTGGGAAAACCCAACTTAGGACCATTGAATGGTTGCATTTAGGATAGAGTAAATTGTAACGATTGTTTGGCAGTTTGTGATTGGTTGGAAATCCAACCTTCAACATTTTCTTGGTTGAGTTGGAAAAGTTCCAAGTCTCCAAGTTGAGGCTTGGCAAACCCAAACCAAGTTTTATCCTAACCCAACCCAACCTTCTTCTCCAAGTCCTCGTCGAGGAAACTCTCAACATTTGCCTAGAGGGAAGTTGGTTAGTGAGTTTAGTTAGGGCAATGTGTTACATCAGCTGCCGCTAGCGCGCAGTCCGCCATCGCACTCCAGCGCACTCATCAACGAGCCAGTGCGCACGCCAAGAGCTGCCACCAGCACGCAGCTCACCAGCAGTGCGCTAGCAACAGTCGCCAGCACGCAGCCCGCTAGCGCACACCAGCGGACACATCAACAAGCCAGCGTGCATGCCAGGTGCCGCCCAAGTGCGCACGCCAGGTGCCGCCCTAGTGCGCACATCAGGTGCCACCTCAGTGCGCACGTCAGTGTGCACAATAGCGCACAGCCCATCAGCGCTAGTATGCTAGTAGCGCGCCAGCAACTGCTACGAGCGCACAAGCCAGCAGCACGCCAACAGCGAATGCCAGCATGCACACCAGCGTGCAAGGTGGCGTGAGGTGTTGGCTGCTGTGAACAGCCAGCACCGCCATCCTTAGCGTGCAAGCCAGCAGCGTCCCAAATTGCCACTTAGGACGACCCTTGCGGGTCGTCCAATTTGCTTCTTACACAACCCCCGCGGGTCCCTTGTGTGAAAGTTAGAAGAGAGAAGAGGGCTTGACTAGCAGTAGTGGAGATACATATAGCAAACCCTAACAGGGTTGTACTCGCTATAGAGCACCCCACTAATGGCTAGATAAGAACATTCTGACACCTTGAGTCGCCCCGTAAATGATCCCCACGATCCCTTGTTTCGTGCCCCAAAGGCCCCAATTTTGCGCCCCTCGTTTCGTGCCCCATAGGCCCCTCAGTTCGTGCCCCGTTAGGCTCTCTCTTGCAGCCCAATTGATTCGCGCCTCGCAAGGCCTCCACGACCCCTCAATTTGAGCCTTGCATAGCCCGTCGCCAGGCCATTCATCGCGCTCCCGCCATCCATCCCGATTGTGCCGCTCATCGTGCTGCTACTGCCTATCGCGCTGCTGCATTACGTTGTCGCCAGCAAGTACATTTGCTTGTACGTATGCCAGCTACGTGTGCAGCCCCTGTAATGCGCTAGCAGCTGTGTTAGGGTGACGCCTGCGTGCATGCAACTGTAGCAGTACATTGTAATGTGCCAGCTGCTCGTTAGGTCGCAACCAGCGTGCTAGCAATTGTAGTCCATCGTGGACGCTGCTCTACTACTGCCTTTCCCCACACGCAGCACCAGGTCCTAACGCATAGCCGCAGCTAACGTGTGATAGCAGTATCATCATGCTGCTGCATACCAATGCGACCAGCAGCAGCAATACACCAGAGCCGCCACTGCTGCAGCTCCGGCGCATGCTGCTGTGGTAGGTGCACTAGTATTAGCACGTACTAGCAGTAGTGTGCATTACCATCGGTCGTTCGTTCAACCTAACTTACTGCAGCCCACTCTTATGTCCTTTCAACCACTCGTATCCGCCTATAACCTTTCGTAAAACTGCCCGTGCTGACATCTACACTGCTGTCCATCTCGCCGCCTGTAATCGCACATAGTCTTCCACAAAGCCGCCCTCCCGGACATCCACACTACTACCCGTCCTGCCGCAAGTTGCTATCCGTACAGCCACCCTCATTGCAGCCCACACTGCCATCTGTTTTGCCTCTCCAGCCGTTCCTAGCTCCAGCAGCTCCTAGGTCCAACCGTTTTTAGCTCCAACCACTCCTAGGTCCAGCCGCTTCTAGCTCTAGCCAGTCGTGTCCAGCCTCTCCCAGCTCTGGCCACTCCTAGCTCTAGCTGCTAGCTCGAGCCATTCCTTGTTCCAAACGTCTTCCTGTACGTCCATGCCTCGATGAGTTGCCTGCACTCCCCACGTCCTACAAAGATTGCCGCTGATGCCACCACCAAGCAGCAGAAGGAGTATTGTGACACCCAGCTGCGTACACACTTGGGAGACGTTTCTGCGCACCTTGCCATTGGTCATCTCCTGCCACAGGCCCGGCCGGTCCACTACTGCTAGGCCGAGATGGCGAAGGAGCACTTTTATGATATTATTGCTCGATACTCTACATCCTCTTGTACTGCTCTACGGTGCCTTCTCATGCCCTTCCTCTATCCTTCTCACTTTTTTTCTTCACTGTTGTCAATCTTGGTACTCAACTATGCTCCACGCATCTCACCCGGTACATCATTGCGACCTGCCTCCCTGACCAGCTCGTGCCTGCCCAATACCACACGGACCTCATTATCGATCTATTCCATTTATCATTGCAAAAACAGAAAGGTGGACCAATATGGCTTCAAAACCCTAGGCTCTCATTTTACAAGTCACAGCCAACTGCTGGGTCAAAACAAGAGTTGTAAAGGCGAAGTGGATTCTTAATTTGGCTCGTGTGTAAGCTTACAGACGTTACATTAGCAGCAGTAGCATATTAACAGCCGTGGCATGCATTATAGTTTAATGGATGCACTTTAGAATACCTGAGAAGACCAAATACATGATCTTCAAAATAACTTTTCATGAGCAACAACCACCACCTCTGTATTTTGTACTCAATGGATCGAACTTCAATTTTCACAGCGCTAGTTTATACTAGTTAAGAGTGTGTCGTTGCTGAACCACCTATGTAGAGATGGAATCATATAGCAGAATCAAAACGGGAGAAGCGTGCTCACGGGGAATAAGGCAAGCTGGCTCCACAGATTGAGTTTTACATCCAGATGTAGTAGCTGGAAGACTCTAAGCACATTAAAAAAGCTCATCCGTTTGTAAGTTCCCTTGTGGGAGGCCGAAATTGTCTCGTTGGTCTATCCCAAAGCGCTTCCTGCTCCCTTTATGGTAGGGTCCCAAACAATTTGTTGCTTAGACCCTGTGGAGGCGAAGTTTGCAAGGCCGATTCCCACTGCTGATATGGAAGCTAAAAATTTTGGATGTTAAGGCCCGAGTTCCACATGGCTGATTTCAAATTCAAGGTTCTTAAATATGAACTCGCCAAAAACCAAGTTACTACCCGAAGTGAAGCATTTCGTCGCGTTGAGGAGGAGATGTTTTGCAACTCTTATGCATGATTTGCCAGCAACAAAACAAGGCTTTTGGGGTGACGTGTCAACGGGAGATGGAGCACTGTTCACATTCAGTAAACTTGAAAACCAAGTTGTACTACTTGGCAGCCATATTTAGGCACAATACGCGTAGTCTACTCCCCGCTACTCAGGACCAAAAGAGCGTGTACGCTCCCAATTTTACAATGGCAGCAAGCTGTCTGTATCCACCCAGCAGCGTGTTTGTTGTTCTCCAAGAAGAAGTAGAAAAAATACCAGTATGAAGAAAAACGTCACCGGGTTTGCCCATTTCTTTAGGGACGATGGTGGTGTGCTAAGCGCAAGGAACAGGCACTTGCCTGGTTTCAACACGCTTGCCAACTCCTCGATGCACCCGCTTCTGCCTGCACCGCTCCCTTCCGTGTGCCTGCACTCCCTTCCGCAATGCCTGTACTCCCTTCCGTGTGCCTGCACTCCCTTTCGCCCGTCGAAATCCCTTACGCCCATCGCCCTCCCTCCCGCCGTCGCCCTCCCTTATGCCCATCGCCCTCCCTAGCACTCAACGCATCCCCTTCCGCCATCGCCCTCCCTTCTGCCCGTCGCACTCCCTTGTGCTCGTCGCATCCCCTTCCGCCCATCTCACTCACTTCCGCCCGTCGCACTCCCTCAGCCCGTCGCATTGCCTTTCGCCCGTCGCCCTCCCTTCCGCCTGTCGCCCCCCCTTCCGCCCGTCACCCTCCCTTCGTCTCGTCGCCCTCGCTTCCTCCCATTGCCCTCTCGACTGCCCGCCACCCTACCTTCCCCTCGTCACGCTCCCTTCCGCCCGTTGCCCCCCTTTGTCTCGTCGCGCTCCCTGCCGCTCGTCACCCACCCTCCTGCTCATCCCCTCTCCATCCCCGTATCTCTCTCCCCTCATCGCCCTTGCATTCGCGACACTGTCACCATCCCTCCCTTCTCCCTTTCCAACTCACACACTTGTCACGCCCCCTTTCCAATCCGCACACACCCTTCCTTCCCCCAACATCGCCTTTCACCACCACACTGCTTACCCTCTCTCCTTCTTCCCCACATCATTCGCGGGCTCCCCACCGTCCTCCCCCCAGCTCTCTCCCCGGCATCCTCCCCCGCTCCCCACGTCCGCTTCCCCCCATCCTCTTCCCCGTTTCCCCAGGGTTTCCCGCACTGCTTCCCCCCATCCTCTGACTTGCTTCCCCCCAACCCCTTCCGTGCTTCCCACCATCCCCTTACCTGCTTCCCCATGTCCACTTCCCTGCTTCCCCCCATCCCCTTCCCTGCTTTCCCAAGCCCACTTCCCTACTTCCCCAAGTCCCCATCCTTGCTTCCCCAAGTCCCCTTCCCTGAGAAAGATAGAACGAGGAATGATTGAATTAGCAAGAAGATGGGTACAAGTAGGAAAAACTAAAAGTGTTGTACCCCATATTGACTACCCCACTACAACCTACATAGACTATGTCATATAAGTTTGACACACCCCCATAGGCAAAGTGGGGGAGAACAAGAGGTCACAAAACCCAGTCAAGAATAGCAAAGCAAGCTCAGGGTGGATGACGACGTTCATATGGTCACTAGGCCAGTTCATATGCAGAGTTATATAAAGGAGAACAAGCAGTACAGCTAGCAAGTGTAAGCATGCGGTATATGTATAGAGATCACAGTACAAACAAAGTCAAGAAGTGAGCAAGTGAGGCCAAGTAGGCACAAGGCCTAGAACAGTACAGAAACGCTGATGATCACAAGGCTGTAGTGCCTTGGTGAAAATATCGGTAGGTGCAATCGGCCAGGTGCGCTTGGCCGACGTGGGTGACGGCGACGACGACGTGTAGCAGTAGGTGCCATGCCCTCTTGCATGGCTGGTGCGGTGACCGGCGTACTGTGTGTTGGGCGCACGCCGACGGGCTATTCTCGGAGCTGTACTGCCGTGTGGGCTGGGGGCCCAAGTGTGAACGCGGCAGGGCAGTGTCAACGGGAGCGTTGTAAGGCCCCGTCCTCGCTTGGGCGGAGCCAACCTTGTGGTCGGATGTGCGGGGGTTGCAGCCGACCTGCAGCAATGGGCACGGGGGCCACTGAAAGGGCGCCGAGTTGGAAGGCGCTTGGCTGGAGGGCGCCGAGCAGGAGGACGCCGCCCTGAACGTCTGGTTGGCGTCCCGGACGCCTGGACGGCGTCCTGGGAAGCTGGACGCCGAGCTGGGCGTTGCCACGACTACCCGAGCGCCTGGTCGACGTTGTGGGCACCTGCACGGCGCTCTGGAAGGCCAGACGCCGACCTAGGCGTATGTACGGCGTCCTGGGGGTCCGGACGCCGACCTGGGCGTCCCGAGGGGCCCAGACACCAACCTGGGTGTCCGGTTGGCGTCCTGGGAGGAGGGACGCCGCTCTGGAGGTTTGGTCGGCGTTCTGGGCGTCTGGACGCCGACCTGGGGGTTCGGAAGGCGACGCCGACCTGGACGCCAACCTACGGACTGCGTGGGTAGACCAGGTGTGGTTGCCCGGTCGATCGGGATACCCGGGCGACGTGCGCGAGTGTCGCCAGGGTGGAGTCTGCGAGGCCGACCTCGGGGGTGGTATCCCGAGGTCGGCATGGCTGGTGGGCACAGTCGCTGGCGTGGAGTCTGCCAGGCATCTGCGTTGTGCACGTGACAGGGACGTGCGCACCAACTAGCTGCGCGCACCTGTGAAGCAGGTGCACCGCTGTCCTGCGGGTGCAGTGCTATGCAGCCGTCTTGCTGCAGCACTGGCACACCGTGGACTTGCAACGTTGGCGAACCGCTACTCTGCAACGCTGGAGCGGTGCGAGCGCTGGTGCGCTGGAGCGCGGTCGACCGTGCTGCGCTGGAGGTCGACCAGTCGCCTAGCTAGTACTGATGTAGTCTGTGATGCCAATGTTGTTACTATCATTGTTGTTATGTTTTTCCTAGTGAAACTCTTGCCAATTCTCCCCGTGAACTAGCAAGAAGCGTGAACACAAGGAAACGACTAAGTGAACGAACGCAGAGATCACACGAGCACACGTGCCTAGCCGTAGTCTAGCTCTCGTTGCTGCAGTTATCTCCACAGGACTCGCCCACGTGAAGTCAGAGCTATAGAAGAGACAAACGTGCACAGGCCTAGGTGAGCTGCGCAGCTATCTTGGCTTGCAGATCACCCGGGACAGAGCACAGCGCACCATTACCTTGACTCAGTCACACATGGTGGAGCAGGTCCTTCAGCGCTTCGGCTTCACGTACTCCTCGCCACAGTCCACTCCTTTGCCTACTCGCCACTCGCTCTCGGCTCTGCCTTCAGATGAGTCCGTAGAGCCGAGTGGGCCCGTATCCAGAGCTTGTTGGCTGCCTCATGTACCTGATGACCTGCACTCGACCTGACCTGGCATACCCTCTTAGCATCCTGGCACGCTATGTTGCTCCTTGGAGACATCGGAAGGAGCACATGGATGCCGCTAAGAGGGTGTTGCGCTACTTGTGCAGTACGTCGAGCATGGGGCTCGTGCTTGGAGGACGGGCTTGAGCTGTCCTCACTGGTCACGCAGACGCTTCGTGGGCTGACGACTTGGCTACGGAGCGGTCGTCACAGGGTTACACTTTCAGCCTTGGATCCGGCTCTGTTTCGTGGCGATTTATCCGCTCGTCTTCTGTTCTCAGCTTCAGCTGTGAGGCTGAGATCTACGCAGGGACCATGGCTGCACAGGAGTTACGCTGGCCTCACCTACCTGCTGACTGACCTGGGAGAGCGGCCTTGTTCTCCTCGAGTTCTCTACGTCGACAACAAGGCCATGATTGCCTTGTGTCACAAGCACAGACTGGAGCACAGAACCAAGCACATCGCTCTGCGCTACTTCCTTGCTTGAGAGTTGCAGCAGCGTGGTCAGCTTCGTCTTGCTTATGGCCGGATAGTGCAGCGCCTTCGTTAGGAAGTCGGTTGGCTGCTCAGCGGTCGGGATGTACTGTAGCGAGAACTTCCCGCGCTTCACCATGTGCTGCAGCCAGGCCTGTCGCCGCTCCATATGCTTGAGGTTGCCTGTCAACCCCATGCCCTCGGCGACCGTGATGGCCGACTTGTTGTCCATACGCAGGACAGTCGGCTTCCCGGCGTCCAGCTGCCGGAACTCTGCGAGGAGGAAGCGAAGGCGGCGTCCCTCCTTGCCAGCTTCAGTGGCTGCCACGTACTCCGACTCGGTCGACGACAACGTCGCGCACTTGATGTGCTGGCTCGACCAGGAGACTGCGGCCCCTCCGTAGACGAACACGTAGCCGCCCGTGCTCATCCTGCTCTACTTGTCACCAGCGTTGTCGGCGTCCACGTAGCCGACCAGCTCCAGCGACTCAGGTCCACCGCCGAACTCCAGGGCGGTGTCACACGTGTTGGCGAGGTAGGCAAGGCAGCGGTCGACCTCGCGCCAGTGCTGGTCACTCCTCACCGTGAGGCCGCTCCCCAGCTTGCTGCAGACGAAGGCGATGTCCGGCCTTGTCGTCGTCGCCGCGAACTGCAGCGAGCCAACCTTCTGCCGGTACTCCTCCTCCTGCCGTTCCTGCGCCTCCTCGTCGTCGAAGGTGAGCTCGGCGTAGGCGCCGACCGAGACCGGCGTCTTCGGAGTGCGCCCGGTCTGCTCCTCGTCGATAAAGCGCCTACGCAGCTTGTCGGCGTAGCCCTGCTGGTGTAGCCACAGCTTCCCCGCCGACCTGTCACGCACGATCTCCAGCCCGAGGTACTTCTGCACCGGCGAGATCTCGCGTAGCTCGAAGGCGGCTTCCAGCAGCTCCTTCAGCTCCTTCAGCATTGCGGCGCTGCTGCTCGCGGCAAGCAGGTCATCGACGTAGACCAGCACCCAGCAGGCCACTCCACCCTTGCCGACCTTGAAGTAGAGAGCCTCGTCGACCTGGCTCTTCTTCTACCCGGCGCCGACCAGCACATCGTTGAGCGCCAAGTACCACAACAGCGGCGACTGCTTCAGCCCGTACAAGCTCTTCAGCAGCTTGCACACCCGGCCGGTTCCGTCGTTGAAGTAGTTCGGCTGGGACATGTACAGCACCCGATCGAGCTTGCTCTGCAGGAAGGCGTTCTTCATGTCGAGCTGCATCAGGTTGAGGTTGAGGACGGCGACGATGCCGAGGAAGATCCTCAGCGTGACGTAGCTGCTCACCGGCGCGAACGTCTCTTCGTAGTCGGCGACGTACACCTGTGTGAAGCCCTTCACGACCAGCCTCGCCTTCTCTGCTCGACGGTGTCATCGATGTGGTACTTCGTCGTCAACACCCACCGGTTCTTCATGACGTTCACCCCCGGCGGTGCGTTCGACCAGCTCCCAAGTGCCCATGTTGATGAGGCTGCAAATCTCCTCCTCCATGGCGGCCTTCACCGCCGGGGCACTTCCAGCTTGCCAATGCCTCTTTCCACCGTCATCGTCGAGATGTCCCAACGGTGCTCGGGGCCGGCTAGCATGTCGGGGTCGAGCTCCGGAATCTCCTCATCCTCCTCGGCGTCGTCGTACAGCAGGTCATCATCATCATCGTCTACGTCGTACACCGTGGTGAAGGCAGCGGGACGAAGAAGTCAGGCGGCCTCCGAAGTCGGGCTGAACGCCGTGGTTCCGGCTGGACCTCCTCGGCGTCCCCTCCATCGTCGCTGTCGTCGCTGCTCTCAGCGTCCTGCTGCTCTTCAGACGGCGTCCCCAGCCGGATAGTGCAGCCCCTCCCATGTCCCAGCCGGATAGTCAAGCCTCTATCGTGCATGTTCCAACCTCTATTGCTCTCTTGTTTTCAAATAACATGTTCCACCTATCTTTCTTTCCCCTTTCCCCTTCTTCCACCCCATCCTCATCTCGTGTATGTGCGTAGTTCCGGACTATTTGACGAGGCCTTGACCTCGTCTTTGAAAAGAAATATGCTGGGCAATGTCAGGAGAAGTTTCCAAGCGATTTCATTGAAGGGATACAAAACTGAAAATTGCAAGACAATATATAGGCGACTCAAATTCCGATTTTGCCCTCATGTCGCACACAATTTCAAGTAGAGTTTGTACGCATCTCAATTTCTAATTACAGCCATATTCACACCGAACGTGCTAGGAGTTTGAGCACACACTTGACATTCCAAACCTCCATAGTTCTGCCACGTACTTCTGTATTTCTTCACACTTCCTCCACTTTCCTTTGATTCCCATCCCACTAAAGAACAAGCTTTATCAAGTTTCCCTTTCCACCGTCCCAACATAGGCAGATTCATTTCCTCTGAGGTCCTTGCTTTCCCTTGGTCAAAACTCCCCTTGATAGGTTCTTTTTAGGTCATGGCAGGTCATGGTTTGCCAGGGCTCTCCCTAGGGTCTGAGGGATGTCTGATGCATCAAAC